AGGCCATATGCTGTACCCTGACTGCTTGGATCGTGGATGCACTCAGGCGCTTAGACGTTATCCAAAATGAACGCCTCAAGGAAAACTGCATCCGACGAAACCCTGAGTGCCTGACCTGGCCTGGGTCATCTGCTATCAAGGGCATTAATCTTGATGCCGCCTGGCCACTTTTGGCCTGGCCATCTTCACTAATCGGACTATCTGTAAATGGCCCAGATCTGGATCTCACCAGTTTAGTGGTTGGACTCTTCAAATTGCCTAATACAGACAGATCTGCTAAGGAGATCGCGAACAAAAATAACCGCTGGAATGAGTGTGATTGACAGTGACATTTGCTATGAATGGTGAGATACCAGCCAACATGCTAGACTTTGCAAGAGCTGTCTAGTAACGGGGAAAAATGATTCTTGGTGTGTGATTGCTTCAGGAAGACACTTTCGATACGTATGTAGTAGTCTGCTGCGACTAAGAATCACATGCGCAAGTCGCAGCCACTCGCTATCGCACCTCTGTGATCAAGAGTCTTTGGGGTGGATTTCACGTAACGGTTTGTTGACAAGGGCTAGCCGGGTAGCGCAGATCAGTAGGTTTAACCAACTTTGGAGGGGAATCGTTGTTGCGATGCTGGAGTACTTTTGGCTAGAGTCAGAGCATCCCACTTTGCAAGCAACTTCCTTGCAAAACTGCCTTGGAATATCCATATTCGTAAAGGGTCAATGAGGATACTGCTTTGCTTATCCATTAGCATGCATGCGTAGTGTTGCCCGAGGATGGCTGAGCCCGTACCCAAAACAGCGGCCAGGCCAAGAAGATGGTTGGTGATCAGATCAAGCCTCTCATCGGCCTGTGGCACGAGCTGCATGTGCATCTAACAGTGCAGCCTCTAGCCTCTTGTTAATAATCGATTTTCTGAGGGTGTGATGTCAAAGGCATCGAGTCCACGCAAGAGATGACAGGTGCCATTTTACTACCAGGGCACAGTGGTTAGCACAACACTCTCCAGTCCATCAAAACCTTGTCGAGGAGGGGTTATCGTTGCGCCAATCCCCTGCCCGTAGAGACAGCCAGGAACCACCCTCTTCAGGAACGTCTTGAACTGTGGATGGCACAATGGGAGGCAATTTCGAGGTCCACGCCCTGTCTGCCTCGAGCACGAGATCCGTGCGCACATCCAGAAGTGTAAGTCTTGTTGTCTCTCTCCGCACTCCCGGGAATATCACTCTGAGATAGCTCAACGCTCCTTAATAAACTAGGGTCTTGATGAATCCACAAAGCTTAGCTTGAAATCCGTGGAAAGAGAGGACACGTTTTCTCTAGCAGATGCAAGCTGACTGGACACAACTGCGGAGATGCAATGGTCGGAGTTATTGGGATGGCAGCATGGTAAGAAAGCGCCCATATCTGCAGAAGAGGCTATAAGAAAAGCCCCCTCACCTGAAGAATTAGTCACAATATTTTCCTTATGATGAACGGTTTACGGGCTCCCTACCTGGAGGAGTTCTCCCGGCCGGGAAACTCGGACCCGCCAGGTAATCCATACCAGCCCTACGGAGAATAACCATACAATGGGATGTTGAAATAATGATAGGAATGATCTTGGCTTTGAACCAGTTCCAGTCCGGTCCCCTGGAACTGTTCCTAGGTGCAATCCAGGGTCGGTTTCATGTCCAGAACAGCCACATAGCGTGGATGCCACGGGTGTTGTTGTGCACAGGCGATGGGCTTGTGAACTTTGTCTTATCCAAGAGTTGCAGACTACTGTAGGTCGAAACTAAGCCGTTGTCGATTGCCTCTCCGATGTATTGCGGATCATTTCCCCGCCAACTCAGCCTGGCTTGACGTTGCATCCTGGAGCGGGGTTGGGGAGCAGGAGCTTATGCCCGACAGTGGCAGAGCGAATATCTATAGTGCAGTATTCGTAGCTGATGGAGGGGATCGCTGAAGCGGCATCACATAGCCGTATTCTCTCTCCAGCGTAAAGTTGGCTCGATGGTGGTTGCTGGCGAAGCGAAGGAAACTGATGCTCTTGGCTTAGTTTCCTATCATTAGCTGAGACTAAAGTGTAATTAGCGGCTCTTCAACCTTGGGTTGCCAGTCAACTCTGTCCGTCGGCGCCCTCCGATCCCAGTTGGTGATGTTCCGAAGAAAGACTTCTCTCCACTTGCGGAGCAGAACGACATCCATCATAGGGGCGGCAAGAAAACTTAAGACTCCTATCCTAGATGACGAAAATACTCAGGTAACTCTAGCCTTAGATGAGAGGGCTTTTACTGATTTCATATTAGCATCTTCCCATAAAGTCTTGAGTTTTCTTGCTCCCTGAGGGCAATCGCCCGTAATATCTGTCTATTCCCGAAAGAGGATAGAAATCTTTGCGGGCGCCTGTCGATCCGGGAACACGAAGTGGGCTTTGAGCCAGGAGCCCGGTTAGCCTATTATGAATGGAATGCTTCATCTCAGTGGAAAGTACTTACCGACAAGGTCTGGCATTGCATGTACAGTATAGAACAGTAAGGTAGCGCAGGAAACAGAGACTGCAGCTGTGCCTTAGCAAACCAAGGCAGAAGGAGACCATTTCGAGGAGAACTTCGTTCCTTCAATGGGGAAAGCTTGATGATGTTGCACTCGCTTACTTCGTAAAATATGGGTGTGGTCAGCCCATCTTGACTTGTGGCTACCTGAAATGCAAGAGCCACCAGGAAACGAACGAGTTGCATCTTGAGCGCATTCACTCGTTTATCCTCAGACCTAACATCTTTGTCTTGACTGTTACATTCCTGTATGTAAAGTTCTGCCGCCACGCATCAAGGTGCCGAGTGTCCGAGCTTCAAAGCCTCGTAAGGCGTGAAGAGAGCCATTCAACGCTCTGTCGATAAAGTGAAACGGGGGTCGAGGGGCTGCAGCAGAGGTTCAACGGTTGCCCATTTTCCAGGAACTCGGCAAACCTTGAATTCCGTGGCTCACTGAGGACGCAAGGCCTCGACTCAAAAGCGCCAAAAGCGCCACCAACGATCAACCTTGATCCTCGTTATGCATGCACCTTGCTGCTAGATGGACGGTGGCGCCAGTACCGTATTGAACTGCCCAAGCACATTCATGATCGATTCGGAAGTGAGCTTATCGAAATCCAGGATCACTAGCCACCCATAAACCTGGCATCGAGGCTCCAACGCACCGAAGCAGTCAGTTATCAGGATCGGCAGTACTGAGTACAGCCCTTGAAGATACGCCCAAGCAACGGCAGTTGCATTAGGGACCAAATTATGCTGTCGATTAGTATTCGATTGTTTATACACTCGCACCTGGTGGACATTCGACCATAATGCTATCGTAGACTCCATCAGCTTGACGATGATCAACCCCACAGATACTTCATCAAGTCTCACATCAATCACTTTGCGTGACTGAGCCACAGGCTTATTCTGCGCCATGCCGAACAGGTCCTAACTGACCTTGAATCTGATGCCTTAGTTCATCGCTGCCGTCGGAAAGCTTGTTGATCATCTCACCCACTGGTTCGTTGCTCAGGATGAACTAAAAAAGATATGTTCATATCCTGCTAGCATTGAAGTTCTTGACCAGTTTCGCTTGAGCTTAGTCCCTTGTCTAGCCCCAAAGTTCGCCCATCTCGGATGCAGGAAGACATGGGCCGGGCCTGGGGTCCATGTAGCTTGCCAAGGATCAAGCTTTCTTTCCGATGCAGTGTTGCTTTCGTTCGTGAGTCTTCGGCCGAGTTGTTGTGACCCAACATCCAGGCCGCTTGGGCTCGGCCGCTGTCGGCTTGCCATGCAATGTAACATCCTTCGACCATCGCCATGAAAGTATTGTATAAGCAGCGATCGTCTTTGAGGCCTGTTGGCGTGATTGAGTCTAGATCAATCATGCCCAGCAATTGGCTTACGACGCTGGGCCGCCGCTTCTTTAAACAGAGGTTAGAACAACCCTCGGAATTCACCGTTTCCTCTCATTTTGATACGTGCCACACCAGCTGGAGAAGAGGTATTGCCACATCAAGAGTTGAACCTCTGATATTTTCCCTTTCATTTTGAATTGGGTTTGCCAGGTCCAGAATATGCAGATGATGTGGCTTCTGATGGTGGCCGAAACTATTGAGACCTGGCCGAGTCTCGTCTGAAGGAAATGCTAGCATCTCTTCCAGGAGTATGGGAATTCAAACGCCACCGTGCCTGCTTCCAGGTACAACGGTTTGCACACTTCCGTGCTTAGTTCGAAGCCCATTGAATTCAGGACGAAACGAGACGGATGGCGGAGTCTTGGGCACATCACAACCTGTGTCCCCCGTTAGCCTTGAGACTTGATTGATGTGTTATTACGCGAGGGCGTCCAAGTCAATGCACATTCTGCGGACCTGTAGGAAGCTGATGCAGAACTCGGCATCTCTGAGGAGACACGGACTAAGATTATCATCCGAGAGGAGTCCGGACCAATAAGATGGAAGATATCTGAGGGCTTGAGGGGCTTGTTGCTGGCCCCAGCATGTCGCAGAAGCAATGGCAGGCGTTGTCTAAAGCTCTCCCACTTTGATCGAAAGTCTATTTTCCCCTCACGGCCTTGCCTGGACTATGCCGCCCTCTGCTTGAGCACTAATCAGGTGTGCTGGTATAATGTGGCTGCACTGGGGTGAGAGCTGCCGTGCATATTTGATGGACCTGGTTCCCTGGAAGACTGTTGAGTACAACGTACTGTTTCGTAAGACCTAGAGCAAAGACGTTCGGATCATACTTATCATATATTGAGTGAACCCCCCGTCTTTCAGTCGTTATTCGCTTGTTCTCCTCCTCTTCGATCTCTTTATGTCAATACGGAAAACAAAGTATTGTTCTCTGCCTTGCTGTATCAGCAGCTAAATCCAATTCACCAAGAACTGACCAACAGTTCAACTTTTACTTCGACCTTTGGCGTTTCTATCTTACTTTGCCGAGCAACCCGATATAAGAATCTACTGTAATCTGTTCGACAGGACAGACTACAAGACTCCAATGGCTGCCTTTATACACTCTTATCCTCACCACATGGAACCCCCATTTGGAAATCCCATGAACATCATGACCGCAACCCCATCACCAGGGTGTATTATGACCCCTTCCCCATATTATACTAGAACACCATCGCCCACAAGTCGAGTAACCATGGGATACCAGCCTGTCCCTGCCCAAGTTCAAGACCCCTCCTTCTTTGAAGAGGCTATAGGTAGTTCTCCTCACCCACAAGAACTGGCACTCGGCTTCATGCAAGCACCATTCCAGTATAACCCGGCATCCAATGCACCTAGTGGACCCTTTCCTTTTTTGCCTACATTGCCAAGTAGCGAGCTCGAGCAGAGGCCTACCCGCCGGGCTCGAAACCGAAAACCGTCCCAATTAAGCATCGTCACCCCCAAAGAAGGTAGTGGCACGGGAGCTGTGCCTAGTTCTCCAAAGCAGAAGAAGCGAGGCCGCAAGCCCAAAGGAGGAGCCAAGGAGTCAGGGAAGTTTCATCAGGAGATTGAGCTTGATGAGGACGACCTTCCCAAAGACCCTCGACGTCGACGTATTCTTGAACGCAACAGGATAGCCGCGACCAAGTGTCGTCTTCGGAAACGAGACGAAGCATCCGCCCTTGCTTCCCAGGAACAAGCCATGGAAGACCAGAACCGGTATCTTTCCTCATGCTTCGACTCATTGACAGCTGAGATATATCACCTGAAAACGCAACTATTGCAACACACAGACTGCAACTGTGTACTGATTCAAAAATATATCGCCAATGAAGCCAAGAAGACAGTTGATGGCCTGCTTTCTTGCTCATCGACCTTCCAGCCCGACAATGACCCCATGAGCCCATATCGTCGAGGTTCATGCAATAGCGGCACCAGCCCCACTGAATCCCTGGGTGTGCCTACTCCAGAGTTTGAAGGAGTCTCGCCAGCCTGGTCACAGCCTTTCCAAACTGGCCATGCTTCATCATCAGAGGTTGGAGAGGAACTCTTCGAGATGCCAATGAACCCTTACCGCAAAGGGTCAATCCAGATGCAGAGTCAACCGCTCACCAGCATAGCACCACTGCATCATCCCGAATCCGAGATATATGCCGGTATGGGGCCTCCACCCCAGCATGTGGATGGTATCAGTTGGAATCCTTCGTGGGGATTTTAGTAACGAGGCTATGATCCTGTACCGCTGCCTTGGGTATTGCGATCATGTAGCTTGGTTGAGACTTTCGAAAGCGATTGAGGAAAAAGCTATTCTGTACATACGATCATGGGTAAAGGCGTTTTGGCTTGGGGGTGACATGTTGCAAGCGTTCTGCATCAAGGGAGGTTAGCCAGTATCTTTTTTATATTATCCACCAATCCAGAAGTCGAGATCAACTGTTTTTTTTATTGAAATTCAAAGAGGGGTGAGATCCTATCAACCAAACCAGCTGGCTGTGATCTGCTCGTCGTGTTTACCTTCTCGTGTTTTCAAAGCTCAATGGCTGTAGGCACTCTCCTTCCTTCAGCATAAAACGTTACAGTATATCCATTGCTTGCTGAACTCATGTTAAATGAAGCAATGGTTATTAGGTGATGCAGACGTGATCCACTAAGTTCCGGGCTTCGCTGGAGTTTTCACACATTAGAACATTGTGAGCGTGTCAAATGCCTACATGCGAGGTGGATCGCCGTTGTTCCAGATCGAAGAGTGTGGGGTGATCCAGATCTCATGTTTCCCCTGCAGCTAATCGAACGTCTGCATTAGAGCATGCCCAATGTGGTGATGGCATCGGAGTGACCCACTAAGTTGATGGGCCAATTCTCAATCGCCACCGTGAACCTGCACGTCATGGCATTGAATGAGGTGATTCGTGTCAATCTGGTTGGAGAGCAGGGTAGAAGAAACTGGGCTGATGGAAAATGCTCAACGCGAAGTTTAAACAAGTCGAATGAACAAAATGAAACCCATGTTCCCCTTCCTGAGGTACCTGAAATGACGAACGGACTTTCAGAGATCAGTGTTGTCTGCATGTGGTCGCAACACAGTTGGTTGCAGTGTCGCAATTTCAGATCTATCTGTTATGATTTGGCCTGGCTCGACACGGACAAAGCATCGTTCGAGACTTGAGGTCTCGTAGTGTAATCGCACAGCTCTGAAGAAAGTAAGATGTTACGGCAGTGATACGGCTTGATAAGAGTGCGCAACCGTTTGAGCCCGAGTCCGGCGGTATGAGTTGGCAGGAGGCTCTAGAGAAGTCGCAGACATAGGACCAAGTTGTTGTAAAGATTCTTGAGTCTGGGTTGAGCCTCAGCTAGGACTGGGCTGGGGCTGCAGCAGGGGGGAATGCAGGTTCTTGAAGATCTCCCCAGCGGTCGGTAATTCAGCGGTGACAGCATCACGCTTCCTTGTAACATCGCTGCTGGCCGTAAACCAGGGGTCCCATTCCACGAGGCGATCCCAAGTCGTTGAGGGCTGGCTATACACCAATCAGCCTTTGCAAGGCGCGAACCGGTGAAGATGGCCAGACTGGAGTGGGTATGGCCCATAAGGATAGCTTCGTAACGACTAATGTACCCTTGTCGCAAGTGAAGGAAGTATGCCCCTTTGAGAAGTTGAGCCACATCGAACTTTGCCCTGATTATATTTCAAGCTGGACGATTCTGCAAACGCTAGGGTTCCTTCTTTCATATTCTTTACTTGCAAGTCGGCATTCGAAAAGCTTCTCAGTTCCGCGAGAAATCGAGTTGGAGTTGCCCGCGACTTCCCAAATATAGCAGAGACTCTGACAGGCATCATCATATAAGGTAGGTATTCATTGCCTCAGGGCAAGAAAATTCCCCGACGCCCCATCAATAAACATCCGCTGGGTGTCTTCGTTAAATATCGAAGCACCAGTGCTGCTAGATGCCGCTTTGAAGTTTTTCTCGAGGCCGGGCTTCAATAACAAGCGCATTAGTCGGGGGAGTTTTTAGGCGAAGTAAAAATCGTCAAGCTCGCCAGAGGGAAAGCGCCTACCTATCCACATTCCCTTGTCGAAAGCAGACATCACCATTGTGTCCTCGTGACTCAATTGATTGCAAGGAAAGCATTGGAAATACATGCTTCATCGCACGTTGTCACCGAAAGAATTGGACGGATCTCGCTTCAGACTTACCGACGTTTGGATGAGCGCGTGAGGAAGAAGACTTTTTCACCGCTGACGACTACCTCACCTCACCTGAGGTTCAAGTGTCTTGTACTACCTGAGCCACCCACAGACGGGACGGGACAGGCCAACCTGGAACATCCGACAGCGCATCGCACCTTCCCGCATACCAGACAGACCAAGACATTTTGGTAATCACAACCTGAAGCAGCTGACCTGCCTGATTGCTCGTACCTAAGGTTGTTCAGGTAACCCTAGGAAGGAAAGAAGCAGCCCAGTGCGAACGCAAACACGCAGGAGAGATCCCGTTTGTTACGTTCCACCGCGTTTGTGATCCTCGACTCTTGGCCTTAAACTGAACTTCTACATCCTCAAATTCTTCTTCAACGCCGGTTCCCGTTATCAGTATTACACCCCGGTTACGACCGGTGAGTGCAATCGTTGCTACGGCGGATCGAGAGGTTGCCCTTTTCCCCATTTCTTGTCATTCGCTTTCCCCCAAGGATACTTCATACACTCTTTCTTGGCCGCTTTCTGCTACCTTATCTTGCCCTCAAGTTGCCAGCTTCACCACTTAATTGGGATCCCACTCATTGTTTCAGTCGATTTTATCTGGAATCTTCAGAGATTCATACTCCCCATCGATGCAAATGCTCGATCCAAACTTAGTCACTATGGCGGCCAACTCACCCGCGAAAACCGCCTTGGTGATCCTGTACTACTTGTACCCAGCTCTCGTTTTCATCTACTTTTTCTTCGCCTCACTCGTTTCAGCCTGTACAGTACACTCTTCTGGCAAAGATGAGCGAAAGAAGAAGTGTCCCAGCCGACGGTTGACACTCGTCTTCTACCTCCTGTGCATCCTGACATACACTACTCAGTTGTTGCTGCTTGGTGCCCAGGCAGTCCTCTCACAGAGATGGCCAACAGAGGATCATATCATCATTGGCCATCTGGCTTGCATTCTGGCGTTCGGGACCCAACTGAGTCGCTGCCTCGACACTGACGAGGGCCCCTTCTATCCTTTCATCGGGTCTTGGTTGCTTGGACTGTCTTTTGATATTGCAATCACTGTACTGTCTGCTATTTTGGGACTGTTATCCCCGTTCGATGTCTTCAGTATCCTTGCAAGCGTTAGCATCAGCATTCGTTGCCTGTCTTTCATATCACTCGCTAGTTTGTTCGCTGTTCGCTTCTCTGCAAAATCGAAATCCGATGAAGAGCAGGAACCATTGTTGCCCAAAGTTACAACTACGTCACCTGAAAGTCCGACCAGTCAGGAATCTGGGTATGGGTCGACACTCCAGGCTGAGGAAGAAGAAGAAGAAGAGGCCCCGGAGTATAGTTGGGAACGCAGAGAGAGAGAGGCCAAAGAGGCTATGAAGAAGAGGCTCGAGGAAGGTGGAAACTGGTTTGAGTACGCCAAAGGCTTCAAGGTAAGTAAAGAATGCTTGCACTTATTCACCAATTCAGCCCCCCAACTGATACCACCGCTTGTGACCGTGTGAGGGTCATTGCGCTAACTCATAACAAGATTCTTTTCCCATACGTCTGGCCTGTCGGCAATGTTGGTCTGCAACTTCGTGCTGCGGCTGTGTGCCTATGCCTGTTCGTATCCAATGCTCTTCACCTACTCATCCCCCGCCAGACAGGCATTATCATGGACAGCCTGAATGGTTCCGGCAACAGCAATCCGTGGATCTCGGTTCTTGTATTTGCTGCCCTCCGCTTAGCTGCTTCTGAGTCGGGTATCGAGCTAGTTCGTCAGTGGCTCTGGGTTCCTGTTAAGTACTATTCCCACGACGCATTGACACGAGCAGCCTACTCGCACATGATGCATCTTTCAGCAGACTTCCACGACTCAAAAAGCTCATCAGACATGATGATGGCGATCTATGGAGGCAGTGCGGTTTCTAATGTTATTGAGAACGTCTTGCTCTATGCCGTGCCCATGCTCATTGATATGGGAGTGGCTATTGTCTACCTTTCTATCACCTTTGGGCCCTACGAAGGACTTATTACCGTGGCTACCGGTGTATTTTTCCTTCTTATTGCTAGCAGACTTGTTGCTAACTCCAAAGCTGCAAGTCGAAACCGTGTCAATGCACTATATGAAGAACACTATGTGCGCCAGTCTGGCTTCCTTGGGTGGCAGACAGTTAGTGCATTCAATCAGATCGGTTACGAAGACAATCGGCACGCCAATGCAGTCACAAATCGTTGGCTTAGAGAGCAGCAATATGTGCTTGGGTGGTATATCTCAATCGGATTTCAAACCCTGGTCCTGACATCTGGTCTTCTTGCGAGCGCATTTCTAGCAGTCTACCGTATCAGAGCAGGCCACGCAACACCTGGACAGTTTGCAATGCTTTTGATGTATTGGGCGCAATTGACATCACCGCTTCAGTTCTTTGCGAAGTTGGGAAAGAATGTAAGTGATGACTTCATCGATGCCGAGCGCCTGCTGGACATCATGAGAACCCAGCCATCAGTTGAAAACCAGAAGGGGGCTAGACCATTGAAGTTCGTAGCTGGGGAGGTTGAGTTTGAGCGGGTTTCTTTTAGTTACGACAAGAAGAAGGGTATCATCAAGGATGTCAGCTTCCACGTTCCTGCTGGCCAGACAGTCGCTTTCGTGGGCGCTACGGGAGCAGGAAAATCCACACTCATCAAACTCCTTGATCGGTTTTACGATGTGGGCGATGGCCGTATTTGCATTGATGGTCAAGACATTCGGGATGTTGATCTGTTCAGGTAAGACCTTATCAGAACCAATGGGCACTTAAACACATGACACTTAGCACTAACACAACCAACTAGCCTTCGCGATCGAATTGGAGTCGTTCCTCAGAATCCAATTCTGTTTGACGACACGATTATGAACAATGTACGATATGGAAGGATAACCGCGACCGATGAGGAAGTGTTTGAAGCATGCCATGCCGCTTGCATTCATGATAAGATCAAAGGCTTCACTCATGGTATGGGAATAGCCCTGAGATAACTACCAAACAATTGCTGACCTCGACAGGATACAAGACGCGGGTTGGAGAGCGCGGCGTGTAAGTGAACCTTGGATATCGCTATATAATTCTAGGCTGACCTAAACAGGAAACTGTCTGGCGGTGAGCTTCAGCGAATTGCAATTGCTCGAGCAATGTTGAAGAAGCCGGACATTGTTCTGCTCGATGAAGCCACTAGTGCGGTTGATACGGATACAGAGCAACAGATTCAGATATCTTTCAAGAGGCTGTGCCAGGGCCGAACCACGTTCATCGTCGCGTAAGTTTATACCTTGTCAGTGCCTTTCAGATTACGCTAATCCACAAAGCCATCGTCTTTCAACGATTATGAACGCAGACCGGATTATTGTAGTTGAAAATGGCGAGATACTTGAGCAGGGGAACCACGACGAATTGATCGTGGCTGGTGGGAGATACGCCGATCTTTGGTCAAAGCAGGTCTTTGTGCGAACAAAGGAGGAAGACGCTGATGCCTCGACTGGCCAAGCAGGATTTGTTAACGACCTATCCTCAGAACAGACCAGAACCGAACTATCAAAAGTCAACAAGCCGACAACAGCAACCAACGATCAACCGAAGTCATCCGAAGCCAGAGCTAGCGCAGAGGATGCTCTCGTTACCCAAGGTCGCAAGCAAGAGGTAGTTTCAGCCGAAGATAAATAGTCTTTGGTGATTCTAACCTTTACTTGCAGGGAACCCGGTTGAATCCTGTTGCCGCTACATTTACCCCTCGCAGGTTGGCCAAGATCAGGAAATCCATGGAGACCGGGACCTCCGAGGCATCGACCAGCTCCATCACTCAAGATGGATTGATAAATGTAAGCTCACAAACGAGCCGACAGTGGTCTGACGAGGTTGCCGAACAAGATGAGAAGACCTTGAAGACGACAGCCGTGACTGGCCGGCCATAGGAGGGTCGACCCATTACGAGTAGCGGTGACACTACAACGCAAGCCACGGACTCCAGAGAGAAAAAGAGAGCGTTTATGGCAGCCGTTGACCGTGCTCTTAAAAGCAAACAAGCGAAAGAATTTGACGAAGCAAAAGTCTCGGAGCGTAAGCACAAAGTACCAAGTTGCTGTACTCCGCTGACTCTCCAAGCTTTGGTCAAATGTGGAGATGAGGCTGAAGGGTTGGCTAAGGAAGGAGACGTGGCAGAGAGTCAAACTTTTGAATACAAGCTGCCGTACTATTCTCGTCGTGCTCAGTCGAAGAGCGAACCATCTCAGGCATCTCAGGGCTCTGACGGAGCCGACGTGGACAACGAACTCCCCCTCTCGTCGACAGGGAAGCAGATGTCCCCAGTAAGTGTTGAGTAAAATATACTATGGTCCTTGTAACTAATGAAGGAAGCATCGTCGAGTTACACTGCCTCCTATGAAGGCGAGTGCAGGATCCCAAATTCCTGTTGCCACCGAGCATAACCAAGCGGTGTCTTCAGTTTCTCGGACGGCGAAGGTCCGAGATAGCACCATCGATCGATGCTTCGACAAACAAAGCGCTCAACAAAGAGTGGAGCCGACCATGTCAGGTCGAATCGCGACATTGCCATCATCAAATGATAAAGATCCACAAGGCGAAGATGGGGTGACTACAGGCACAAACACCACGGACAGTCTCAAGCACGGCAACAATGAAATCTCGGAACCCAGAGAAAACCCCATCAGTTCCACCCCACGTCGTGGTGGCCGCGGGGGTCGACGAGGACGATCCCCTTGGTACCGTGGCCGACGTGGCAGAGGAGGTTATCGTGGAAGCTCACAGGGCAGACAAGCAGCATGAAGCGTGCTGCCACATACACATCATGGCGCTACAGAAATAATTCAGGACATGATAAATCCAGGGCAGAGGTATAAAGGAGAATAACGAGCCAGGAGAGGAGGCTCTTGCATGTATCAACATTACGAGTCTATGACTACCCACGAAGTAACAGCAATGACTTTTAGAGAGTGGTTATCAGTTAGTTAAGTGTTGCCTCAAGATAGACATAGATCAGGCGTTTATGACATCAACTACATATCTCAAATTTACTCTACGTTAGCCAGACAAAGTGGTGACGAGGGGCTCAATGACTGGCATGAGAATAAATAGAGCACCTAGAGAATGGCTGAAATAATGCAAGATGGCAAGTCTGAAGGCGTTTGAGGTACTTGATTGTCAGTATATCCATCCATAGGGTTACCTTGGTGAAGTCGAAGTGATAAATCGGGCGCACGTATGGAAGCACGAAGACGACTCTGGGGTTCGGAAGGTATGAAAACGTCTAGCTTTAATTTGCCTTGGGGAGCTTAAGTACTTTGAGCCCTTTCCATGTATATATGCATATGTTTGTATGGATGAAAGGAGTTCTCAACTCTCAGGCTCAAGCCACAGTTCCTTTGGTAGGTGACCGAGAAATCGTATCAACTCAGCTACCACGGTTTCAACTCTCCCAAATATATACCTGGCGTCACCCCGTAGACTCAACCCATCGCATATCTTCTGAACTGCATGATCAAGTCAGTATTGGTGGTCTTGAGCCAACAGTACTACTCGCAAGATTCCAGGTCCTCGAGTAGATGCCCAAGCTGCGATAGAATTGTCGATCTAGTATAATCCTGGTTACGAAACTTGTAGTCCAAGGATATCGTATATGTTGGGCGACGATTAGCTCCATAACTTATACCCCATCTATAAAAGTCTTGGCGGGCTTTTGAGATATCTTCTCGCGACGGCAAGGACTGCTTGACTTTGGCGGGTTGGTTTCTTATGCCACTGTCAACTACATCAAAATGGGCGATACATTCGGAGAAGAGAGTGCAGATATCTGGGGAATTCGTGTCCAGGGTCATTGTCACGATAATTCATAATGCGCTGTGAGATTGATCAAGTCGTGGAAGAAAGGAGAGGATACTTTACCCCTGAGATTTGGCCCATTTTAAAGGCATGGAGTGAACATGAAGCGACATTTCTGTATTCGATGTTGTTCTTGATCAGTGTCGAGTAAAGCAGGGCGAGAAAAGCTTTATCATGGTGTTACCATTTGTGTGACCCCGTCACTGAGGTTCGTGGTGATTCTGGAGACTCGGTATAAGTTAATGGCCTAAAGCGAGGAGTCGCAAGAGGGGAGCAGAGGAAGAGGCACGACAGCAATCCAAGGGATCGGATACACCTAGTTGGGACGGAATACAGTTGGGATGGCTGGATGGTTCTTGACTCTTACTTTCAACTCAAGACAGGGCATCGTCACGGAGGTGATAAGGAAGAGCAACCGCAGTTGAAGAGGGGTGAAGTTTGGAGAGGACTGTTTTTGGTATTGATAGGCACTTGGAATTGTGAGAAGTTCGAGGCTCTTTGTAAGAATACATCGGTGTCTTGATTAAGCTGCTGGCTGTGCTAATGATGGTGTGTATCACAAACTCACCTCAGAATCGCTGATAGCTTACCGAGGGAAAGCAAGACATGGGGGACTTTTCTCGAAGAGAATTAACTAACGATGACTCACGTGTGATCAACTTGTATATGAGCAAAGCATTTGATAATATGGTGATGAGTCTTTGTATGGGTTTAGGGCTGCTTATACACTCATCATAGAAACGCTGTAGAGCAGCTCAAACCGAAGCCGCAACGCAACGCAACACACAATGAATGAATGACCCTACCAGCAGCAACCTCATGCAAAAGTTGCCATATGGTTTCCCGCAGGAGACAAGACTCGGCGACTCCACAAGATCCGGTCCCGCAGCGCCACTGGCCGTGTTCTCACCGACAATGAGAGCGCCTTTCGCTTAAGCCATAAATCGCATGTAATATGAGATCTTATCAAGTGGCCCCCTCCCCTCCCCTCCCCTCCCCTCCACCAGCCATCGGTAGCCAGTTCCGATCCGGTCGAGGAGGTCCGTAGGGCGTGGTTTCGACGCTAGAAACTGCCATGAGCGGAGTCTAGAATGCAGTCTATTTTCCTAATTCGTTGTCTGGTGTAAGTGACTGGGAGAAGAAGAAGAAGAAGAAGAAAAAGAAGGAGAAAAAAAGAGAAAAGGATTTATTAACGTTGCGGGACCACTTCCGTGTAATTCTTATATTTGACTGGCACCTTTTCACTTCTGTTGATAAGGCAAAAACCATTAAATTTTGTTGAGGATGAAAGTCATGGCTGATTCAACGCAGCAAGAGCAAAATGTGCAACGGAATAGTTCTCAGGAAAACACCAACTGGGCGGCATTCGGTCTCGATCCCATCATGGCGACAGTGTCAAACATCAACCCAGACGCCGAAGCACAACCTGAAGCAGACTCGAGACAAGATGTCGAAAAGACAGCCAGTGCATGGATCTGCGTCCTTGGGTCCTTTCTAGCTCTGATACCTACATTTGGTAAGTCAATCACTCTTAGTGATAGTCGACTCTTGACTGAAGATGGATGGGCCAGGCTTCATGAACTCGTTGGGCACAGTCCAAACATATCTCAGCATGAACCAGCTCCACGACTACAGCGAAGGCGAGGTTGGATGGATCAGCGGCCTGTTCCTCTTCCTCTCACTCATTCTCAACGTCCAAGTCGGTCCAATGGTCGATGTCCACGGCCCCAACATCATCGGTCCCGTGGGAGCAGTTCTCTATGTGGCCATGTTTCTGCTCATGGCCGAGTGTCGCAACTACTGGCACTTCATGCTCTGCCTGGGAGTCTTCGGGAGTATCGGCGCCGCCATGACCATGGTTGTGGCCATCGCCATAGTAGGAAAACTGTTTGTCCGCAAGCGAGGTCTCGCGATGGGTATTACACTCGCAGGATCGTCCATCGGCGCTGTCATATTCCCTATTATTCTACGGTCGACGTATCCCAACCTCGGCTGGCAATGGTCAATGCGAATCATGGCGTTCATATCAGCCGGTCTTCTCCTCCCTGCCATTCTCTGCTTCACCACCTTCAACAAGATCTACAAATCATCAACAAATGGCCAACCCAGCCCCAAGAGCTCGACACTCAACTTGACCGCCTTTCAGTCACCCGCATTCTGCTTTGTTACGGCGGGCATCTTTATGTTTGAGTTTGTCATCTTTAGCATCTCGGGTCTTCTGCCGTCCATTTCCACCCGGGTCGGCTTCACTGCCGAGAATGGATATACACTTCTTTCTATTGTCGGGGCGGCGAGCACATTCGGCCGAGTCATTCCCGGAATTGTCGGCGACAAGTATGGGCATTTCAATGTCCTACTTGCTACCTTGGTCTTCACCATCATCTTTATGGGCGCTCTGCTCGTTCCTTTTGGGACCAAGTCAGCTACTGCTCTCTACGCCTGGTCTGCTATCTGGGGATTTGGGTCCGGGTCCTTTCTCTCCATTACTCCAGGTAAGCATCTTATGTTGTAGCTGATAAGAACATGCTAACAATCAACAGTCTGTATGGGTAAAACTTGCGAAGCCAAGGACTATGGTCGATATTATGGCAAGTCTACCCTCTTATCGTCTGTCAACTTCTACTGTAGCTAACCATTGCCCCAGGCATGATGAACTTTGTCACCGCCTTCGCACTGCTCATCGCTCTCCCTACAAGTGGTGCCATGCTCGAGAATATGGGCCCTCAAGCTCTGGCTGGTCTCTTCACTGGCATGACTGCCGTTGGAGGAGCTTGCTACTTTGCAGCCCGAGCTCTTCTCATTGGCAAGTGGCTATCTCCCACGACTATTATTTAATTTCTAAATACGGCTCATTATTTGAAAATCTGAATTTGGCCAAGTTGGGTGCCGTTGGTCTCTTTTATGGTTATGGGAGTTTGGGTTACACATACTGAGGAGATTGGAGAATGTATCTAGTCTGGCGCTGGTTAAAAGAAAGGAAAATGGGTATCAAGGAGCTTCAACATTGTGCTGCGGTATTACTTTACTCTAATAATAATATGATTCATAATCACTGAACAACGCAAGAGCCTCTCGGCACATAAAGAAGAGCAATACATCATATCATCACACACCCTTATCGTCTCTCCTCATAGCAAATCCCTTCTCGATTAACCTCACCATCAGTCCATTCGTCAGTGGTATCTCCCTGTCCCCCATCTTCTGCCCCTTAACCTCATCCTCCGTCGCCCAAACATAGTCCTGATGCTCCTTCGGATCCAGCTTGACCTCAGCTGTATCCTCAACATCAACCTCAAAGCTGAACTTGCAGAAGAACCTCTTCCCAGTTCTATTCGTAAAAACAGCTCCGGGTTTTCCGTTCGGCCCATCAGGAATAACACGTCGAATGTGTCGTAGTTTTAGCCCTGCCTCCTCCCAGAGCTCACGCGCGCAGCCGTACAGAACAGTTTCGTCTTCATCATCACAAGCACCGCCTGGAATCTCCCATTTGTTAGGCATGCTATCGTCTGGCGCTCTTTGGAGAAGGAGAATGCGGTTGGAGGTGTCAAAGACGAGGGCGCCTGTTGCGAGCGAGTCCCATGTCTTATCGTGGGTTTTCAGCCACTCGCGGTGGTTGACGTTCCATGCTGCGACGGACTCATCGAAAGTGAAGTTTGAGTCTGGAGGAGAGAGGTTCGTTTCCTGCTTGTCCGTCATTTTGTGTTGCTGTGTGTGAAGATGAAGATGGAGTGGAAGTGGAAGTGGGAGTGGAAGAGATGAATATAAGATAATGCTGCGACTGAACTGAGAAATGCCCCAGTATTGGATCTGCTTGTTGACGCTAATGCCTCACCTCACTCACTCACCTCACAAGACAAGCTATCGCAACAACCTATGTTTCGTGTCTGCCTAATATTCATCTTTACCTGCCTTACCTAGGCAGGCAATAATAAAAGTCAAGTGGCTCA